CATATCCATATAATTCTCACCCTTTTTGCTGTAGGGTTGGCACTAGAAGCTTTCTTGGGGCCCATGGTGACTTATTTTGCAGGTGCAATCACTAAAAAGGCTGTGATAATATGAAATGTTCCGATTGTATGCTTGGAAGCGACCGCGGTGGCTGGCTGGCTTGTAAACACTGGCCAGAAGTGGACGCGTCTCAGACGGAACGAATAGTGTTGGTGGAGTTTTTTAGCGCTAACTGAGGCAAAATTTTTGCGATAAAATGTATCGCTAGTCAGATTTATCGTTAATCGATGCCATCGCTGGTCGAGGGTCCACTGTATTATGTTTGCTTGTTTTCCAAATACAGTGGACCCTCGATCAACGATGGCATCGTCTAACGTTAAATCCGACTAGTGATACATTTTAATGCAAAAATTTTGCCTAGACTAGCGCTAAAAAACTCGACCAACACGATTCATTCCGTTCGAGATGCGTCCACTTGTGGCCAGTGTTTACAAGCCAGCCAGCCAGCCACCGCGGTCCCATCCAAACATACAATCGGAACATTTCATATTATCACAGCATTTTTAGTGATTGCACCTGCAAAATAAGTCACCATGGGCCCCAAGAAAGCTTCTAGTGCCAACCCTACAGCAAAAAGGGTGAGAATTACTATGGATATGAAGAAAGAAATCATTGCTAAGGGGTTGGAGGTTAGTGGGGAGGATGTGGAAGAGTTGGTGGAGGACGACAATGATGAACTAACCACTGATGAGCTGCAAGATCATCTTCAACAGCAAGAGGCCAGACCTGAGGAAACTGCTCTGGAGGAGGGGATAGAGAAATTGAGGAAGTTGCCTACTTCAAAGATTAAGGAAATGTGTGCAATGTGGCTTAAAGTGCAAACCTTTTTTTGATGAAAATCACCCTGACACAGCTACTGCAAACCGTGTTGGCAACCTGTACACTGACAATGTTATGGCCCATTTTAGGAAAGTCTTAAAGGAACAGGAGGTGCAGAGCTCTATAGACAGATATGTTGTGCGACAGAGGTCCAGTGACTCTCAAGCTGATCCTAGTGGCATTAAAAGAAGGGAAGTAACCCCAGAAAAGGACTTGACACCTCAAATGGAAGGGGATTCCCCTTCTAAACACTAACACCATCAACACTCTCCCCTCCTCCCATCCCATCAATCATCACCAGATCTTCAATAAACGTAAGTGTCATGTAACTGTGCATGTCTTCTTCAGTTTGTGTGTATTAAAATTAATGTTTCAGGTGGTAAAAATTTTTTTTTGTTCATACTTTGGGGTGTCAGGAACGGATTAATTTGATTTCCCTTATTTCTTATGGGGAAAATTAACTCGACTAACGATAATTTCGACTGACAATGAGCTCTCAGGAACGGACTAATATCGTTGGTCGAGGGTCCACTGTACTATAACTCTCAAAACAAAAATGCAAAATTTATCACTTGGTTCATTGCTATTACAAACACGGGTAATAGAATGACCTGTAACCTGGTCGTAATGGGTTTTTGGACCAAAACAAACTCAGCAGTAATATTGAACTTGTATTTCCTTCATCAGATATATATACAATTATGTACACTTATGTACACTATGTACAGGAGTTGAATATAAGTGTACCACGGTGACAAAGAATGGCAAACAGAAGCCAGAGAGAGAAGGCACCATAATCAACCAGCTGCTAAGCGATTCTGGTAAATACTGACCACGAGTGAACCACGTCGCCTCAGCATAGGGCAGGTTCGCCTGTGGCTGGACAATGAACCAAGGTACTGATTTAATGACGGGTACCCTAAAAATCGTTAAACCCTTAGCACCCAATTCACTGGTTGGAAGGCAGCCTATATGGGAGTGTGCACATAGGCCGAATAAATTGTAACATACTCTACATGCCACAATTGCCATCCTAAATTTTCTGTAATTTAAATATACTTTTCACTTTTTTGTTTTAAGCTTTTCCGTCGATTCTACAGTGAAGTGGAAAAACGCATTGAAGACTTGCAAAGTGTTCTTGGGGAACAGCTGATCCGAATGCCTTCATCTCTTGAACACCAGAAGAAAATAATAAGGTATGGAAGAACTTTTGTGCTTTTAAGAATAACATTAGCAAAGTGAATGTAAAACAAAAGCCTGTAATTGTTTTACATGATGGTAGGATTGCTGGTGTCTTTTGTCTGTCTCATAAATATGCAAGATTACAGGTATGTCTTGCTACTTCTACTTACACTTAGGTCACACTACACATACATGTACACGTTTATTTATACACACTCATCTGAGTTTTCTTTGATTTTATCTTAATAGTTCTTGGTCTTATTACTTTTCCTTTTATATCCATGGGGAAGTGGAATAAGAATCTTTCCTCCGTAAGCCATGCGTGTTGTAAAAGTCAACTAAAATGCCGGGAACAATGGGCTAGTAACCCCTTTTCCTGTAAAGATTACTAAAAAGAAGAAGAAGAAGAAGAAAATTGTCAAAGTGGTAAGTCTGAATGTGCGTGGATGTTGTGCAAATAATAAGAAAGAGATGATTGTGGATGTTATGAACGAGAAGAAGCTGAATGTCCTGGCTTTAAGTGAAACGAAGCGGAAGGGGGTGGGAGAGCTTCAATGGAGAGGAATAAATGGGATTAGGTCAGGGGTTTCAAATAGAGTTAGAGCTAAAGAAGGAGTAGCAATAATGTTGAAGGATAAGCTATGGCAGGAAAAGAGGGACTACAAATGTATAAATTCAAGGATTATGTGGAGTAAAATAAAGATTGGATGTGAAAAGTGGGTTATAGTAAGCGTGTATGCACCTGGAGAAGAGAGAAGTGTAGAGGAGAGAGAGAGATTCTGGGAAATGTTGAGTGAATGCATGGGGAGCTTTGAATCAAGTGTGAGAGTAATGGTGGTTGGGGATTTCAATGCTAAAGTGGGTAAAAATGTTATGGAGGGAGTAGTAGGTAAATTTGGGGTGCCACGGGTAAATGTAAATGGGGAGCCTTTAATTGAGCTATGTGTAGAGAGAGATTTGGTAATAAGTAATATGTATTTTATGAAAAAGAGGATAAATAAATATACAAGGTATGATGTAGCACGTAATGAAAGTAGTTTGTTAGATTATGTATTGGTGGATAAAAGGTTGATGGGTAGGCTCCAGGATGTACATGTTTATAGAGGGGCAACTGATATATTGGATCATTATTTAGTTGTAGCTACAGTTAGAGTAAGAGGTAGATGGGAAAAGAGGAAGGTGGCAACAACAAGTAAGAGGGAGGTGAAAGTGTATAAACTAAGGGAGGAGGAAGTTCGGGGGAGATATAAGCGAATGTTGGCAGAAAGGTGGGCTAGTGCAAAATATGAGTAGTGGGGGGGTTGAAGAGGGTTGGAATAGTTTTAAAAATGCAGTATTAGAATGTGGGGCAGAAGTTTGTGGTTATTGGAGGATGGGGGCAGGTGGAAAGAGGAGTGATTGGTGGAATGATGAAGTAAAGGGTGTGATAAAAGAGAAAAAGTTAGCTTATGAGAGGTTTTTACAAAGCAGAAGTGTTATAAGAAAGGCAGAGTATATGGAGAGTAAAAGAAAGGTGACGAGAGTGGTGAGAGAGTGCAAAAGGAGAGCAGATGATAGAGTGGGAGAGGCACTGTCAAGAAATTTTAATGAAAATAAGAAAAAATTTTGGAGTTAAACAAGTTAAGAAAGCCTAGGGAAAGTATGGATTTGTCAGTTAAAAACAGAGTAGGGGAGTTAGTAGATGGGGAGAGAGAGGTATTAGGTAGATGGCGAGAATATTTTGAGGAACTTTTAAATGTTGAGGAAGAAAGGGAGGCGGTAATTTCATGCACTGGTCAGGGAGGTATACCATCTTTTAGGAGTGAAGAAGAGCAGAATGTAAGTGTGGGGGAGGTATGCGAGGCATTACATACAATGAAAGGGGGTAAAGCAGCTGGAACTGATGGGATCATGACAGAAATGTTAAAAGCAGGGGGGAATATAGTGTTGGAGTGGTTGATACTTTTGTTTAATAAATGTATGAAAGAGGGGAAGGTACCTAGGGATTGGCGGAGAGCATGTATAGTCCCTTTATATAAAGGGAAAGGGGACAAAAGAGATTGTAAAAATTATAGAGGAATAAGATTATTGAGTATACCAGGAAAAGTGTACGGTAGGGTTATAATTGAAAGAATTAGAGGTAAGACAGAATGTAGGATTGCGGATGAGCAAGGAGGTTTCAGAGTGGGTAGGGAATGTGTAGATCAAGTGTTTACATTGAAGCATATATGTGAACAGTATTTAGATAAAGGTAGGGAAGTTTTTATTGCATTTATGGATTTAGAAAAGGCATATGATAGAGTGGATAGGGGAGCAATGTGGCAGATGTTGCAAGTATATGGAATAGGTGGTAAGTTACTAAATGCTGTAAAGAGTTTTTATGAGGATAGTGAGGCTCAGGTTAGGGTGTGTAGAAGAGAGGGAGACTACTTCCCGGTAAAAGTAGGTCATAGACAGGGATGTGTAATGTCACCATGGTTGTTTAATATATTTATAGATGGGGTTGTAAAAGAAGTAAATGCTAGGGTGTTCGGGGAAGGGGTGGGATTAAATTATGGGGAATCAAATTCAAAATGGGAATTAACACAGTTACTTTTTGCTGATGATACTGTGCTTATGGGAGATTCTAAAGAAAAATTGCAAAGGTTAGTGGATGAGTTTGGGAATGTGTGTAAAGGTAGAAAGTTGAAAGTGAACATAGAAAAGAGTAAGGTGATGAGGGTATCAAATGATTTAGATAAGGAAAAATTTGATATCAAATTGGGGAGGAGGAGTATGGAAGAAATGAATGTTTTCAGATACTTGGGAGTTGACGTGTCGGCGGATGGATTTATGAAGGATGAGGTTAATCGTAGAATTGATAGGGAAAAAAGGTGAGTGGTGCATTGAGGTATATGTGGAGTCAAAAAACATTATCTATGGAGGCAAAGAAGTGAATGTATGAAAGTATAGTAGTACCAACACTCTTATATGGGTGTGAAGCTTGGGTGGTAAATGCAGCAGCGAGGAGACAGTTGGAGGCAGTGGAGATGTCCTGTCTAAGGGCAATGTGTGGTGTAAATATTATGCAGAAAATTCGGAGTGTGGAAATTAGGAAAAGGTGTGGAGTTAATAAAAGTATTAGTCAGAGGGCAGAAGAGGGGTTGTTGAGGTGGTTTGGTCATTTAGAGAGAATGGATCAAAGTAGAATGACATGGAAAGCATATAAATCTATAGGGGAAGGAAGGCGAGGTAGGGGTCATCCTCGAAAGGGTTGGAGAGAGGGGGTAAAGGAGGTTTTGTGGGCAAGGGGCTTGGACTTCCAGCAAGCGTGCATGAGCGTGTTAGATAGGAGTGAATGGAGACGAATGGTACTTGGGACCTGACGATCTGTTGGAGTGTGAGCAGGGTAATATTTAGTGAAGGGATTCAGGGAAACCGGTTATTTTCATATAGTCGGACTTGAGTCCTGGAAATGGGAAGTACAATGCCTGCACTTTAAAGGAGGAGTTTGGGATATTGGCAGTTTGGAGGGATATGTTGTGTATCTTTATACGTATATGCTTCTAAACTGTTGTATTCTGAGCACCTCTGCAAAAACAGTGATTATGTGTGAATGTGGTAAAAGTGTTGAATGATAATGAAAGCATTTTCTTTTTGGGGATTTTCTTTCTTTTTTGGGTCACCCTGCCTTGGTGGGAGATAGCCGACTTGTTGAAAAAAAAAAAAAAAATTAGCAGAAGCTCATAGTTTTACAATTATTGTGTCCCTTCAAGGGGGGGTGGAGTGCCTTGATCCAAGGAGTTGGAGCTACCCTCCCTTTCCTTTGATTAAACCTGATTACTCTTCCATTTCTGAAGTGGTGCCTGACCCTTACTGGTTAGGGCCTCTTCTTGAATGCATTTCTGTAGTTTAAGACAATTTTTTCATCAAAAATCCACAATTATGTGACGAACGTTGAGACAAAATTTTGGTCCATCCTAGACCATTGACTTAACAATGGTCCAGGATGGACCCAAGCATTGTCATGAGGTTCCTCACCTAATTGTTTGTTTTGGTAAATTGTTCCAACCATGGTATTGTGACATTTTATTCTTTAGTTATTGTTCATTTGCAGAAATCTTCATCATTTGGAGACTCCTGGTGATCCTGCTTGGCAGTGCCTCTCTGCACAACACGAATACATCCTTCATCTCCTCATGTCTGTCCGTGATGCTCATCTCAATCGGGAAATGGCAGACCACGACCTCGGCTCTGGGGGAGGCAAGACCAATACAGGAGGGACAGGTGGACCCAGACACGCTACACCAGCAGCGAAGTATAATAAGATAATGATGTCATCAGTTGGAGAGTGGCAGGTACTCACTCTCAAATTCTTATGTACACTGAATACTCATGCAGAATAACCACAGTGAAAAAATAATTAAATTCCAAGAGCTTTTGTGATTTCTTCTTTCCTCTTTCCTCCTGTACCCCACCCACCTATAACACAAACTTCTGCCTCACATTCTAATACTGCATTTTTAAAACTATTCCAACCCTCTTCGACCCCCCCCCCCCACTACTCATATTTGCACTAGCCCACCTTTCTGCCAATAGTTGCTTATATCTCACCTAAACTTTCTCCTCCCTTAGTTTATACACTTTCACCTTCAAAAATATATCTTTCTTTCTTTCAACACACCGGCTGTATCCCACCGAGGTGGGGTGGCCCAAAAGAAGAAACTAAAGTTTCTCTTTTCAAATTTAGTAATATATACAGAAGGGGTTACTAGCCCCGTGCTCCTGGCATTTTAGCCGCCTCTTAAAACACGCATGGCTTATGGAGGAAGAATTCTGTTCCACTTCCCCACAGAGGTAAGAGGAAATAAACAAGAACAAGAACTAGTAAGAAAATATTAGAAAACCCAGAGGGATGTGTATATATATGCTTGTACATGTATGTGTAGTGTGACCTAAGTGTAAGTAGAAGTAGCAAGACGTACCTGAAATCTTTCATGCTTTTGAGACAGAAAAATGGACACCAGCAATCCTACCATCATGTAAAACAATTACAGGCTTTCGTTTTACACTCACTTGGCAGGACGGTAGTACCTCCCTGGGTGGTTGCTTCAAAAATATATATATATACATGTACATATATTTATTTGCTCCATGGGGAAATGGAGAAGATTCCTTCATTTGTAAGCCGTGCATACTTAAGAGGTGACCAAAATACTGGGAGCAAGGAACTAGTAATCCCTTCTATCCAAATTACTAAAACTTACTTTCAACAAAACCGGCCATATCCCACCGAGGCAGGGTGGCCGAAAAAGAAAAATAAAAGTTTCTCTTTTTAAATTTAGTAATTTATACAGGAGAAGGGGTTACTAGCCCCTTGCTCCCGGCATTTTAGTCGCCTCTTACAACACGCATGACTTACGTAGGAAGAATTCTGTTCCACTTCCCCAGGAGATAAGATGAAATAAACAAGAACAAGAACTAGAAAGAAAATAGCAGAAAACCCAGAGGGGTGTGTGTGTATATATATATATGCTTGTACATGTATGTGTCCTAGGTAGTAGGTTGGTAAACAGCAACCGCCCAGGGAGGTACTACCGTCCTGCCAAGTAAGTGTAAAATGAAAACCTGTAATTGTTTTACATGATGGTAGGACTGCTGGTGTCTTTTGTCTGTCTCATAAACATGCAAGATTACAGGTATGTCTTGTTACTTCTACTTGCACTTAGGTCACACTACACATACATGTTCAAGCATATATATACACACACCCCTCTGGATATTCTTCTATTTTCTTTCTAGTTCTTGTTCTTGTTTATTTCATCTTATCTCCTGGGGAAGTGGAACAGAATTCTTCCTCTGTAAGCCATGCGTGTTGTAAGAGGCGACTAAAATGCCGGGAGCAAGGGGCTAGTAACCCCTTCTCCCGTATAAATTACTAAATTTAAAAGAGAAACTTTCGTTTTTCTTTTTGGGTCACCCTGCCTTGGTGGGATACGGCCAGTGTGTTGAAAGAAAGAAAGAGACACGTATATGTAGTGTGACCTAAGTGCAAGTAGAAGTAGCAAGACATACCTGAAATCTTGCATGTTTATGAGACAGAAAAAAGGACTCCAGCAATCCTACCATCATGTAAAACAATCACAGGCTTTCGTTTTACACTCAGTTTGCAGGACGGTAGTACAGTGGTCCCCCGCTTTTCGTAGTTCCCGGCAATCGTAAAATTCGCCAATCATAGGGGTATTTTCGTATAAACATGGACTCGCTTTTCATAGGTTGACTCGTGAGTCGTAGTTCGTCCGGGACGCGTATGCATGGCGTGAGCCAGGGAGGCAGCCAGTCTGGCATTGTTTACCAGTGAGTGAAGGTCCCCTAACGTGCTCCAGCGAAATATTTCATAATATTCCATTTATTTTAGTGCTTGCAAGTACTAAATAAGCTACCATGGCTCCAAAGAAAGCTCCTAGTGCCAAGCCTGTGGTAAAGAAGGTGAGAAATACGATTGAATTTAAGAAAACCATCATTGAACAATATGAAAGTGGTACAAGTGCGGCCGAACTGTCCAGGATGTATAAGAAACCCTACACAACCTTATGTTCCATAGTGGCCAAGAAAAATGAAATAAAGGATGCTGTTGTTGCAAAGGGAGTAACTATGCTGACAAAAATGAGATCACCAGTACTGGAAGAGGTTGAGAAGTAATTATTGCTGTGGATAAATGAGAAACAATTAGCAGGAGATACTCTTATGACTTCATTTATTTGTGAAAAAGCTAGGCAGTTGCATGAAGATTTGGTAAAGAAATTGCCTGCAAATAGTGGTGAAGTGAGTGAATTTAAGGCCAGCAAAGGCTGGTTTGAGAGATTTAAGAACCGTACTGGCATACACAGTGTGGTAAGGCATGGTGAGGCTGCCAGTTCGGACCACAAGGCGGCTGAAAAATATGTGCATGAATTCCAGGAGTACATAAACAGTGAAGGACTGAAACCTGAACAAGTGTTCAATTGTGATGAAACAGGCCTCTTTTGGAAGAAAATGCCAAAGAGGACCTTCATTACACAAGAGGAAAAGGCAATGCCAGGACACAAGCCTATGAAAGACAGGCTGATGCTAATGTTCTGTGCTAATGCTAGTGGGGATTTCAAAGTGAAGCCATTACTAGTGTACCATTCTGAAAATCCCAGAGTGTTCAGGAAAAACAATGTTATGAAGAGTAAATTGTGTGTGTTTTGGAAATCTAATAGTAAGGCATGGGTCACGAGGGAAATTTTCATCGAGTTGTTCAATGAAGTGTTTGGCCCTAGTGTGAAGGAGTATCTCCTGGAAAAGAAATTGGATCTCAAGTGCGTGCTAGTAATGGACATTGCACCTGCTCATCCTCCAAACTTGGATGACCTAATTTTCGAGGAGTTTGGGTTCATCACAGTAAAGTTCTTGCCTCCGAATACCACTCCTCTCCTCCAACCCATGGACCAGCAGGTTATTGCAAACTTTAAAAAACTCGACACAAAAGCAATGTTTCACAGGTGCTTGACTGTGACCACAGACACTCACTTGACCCTAAGGGAATTTTGGAGAGAACACTTCAGCATCCTCCACTGCATAACCCTTATAGGTATGGCTTGGGAGGGAGTGACTACCAGGACTTTGAACTCTGCCTGGAGAAAACTGTGGCCAGATTGTGTCGACAAGAGGGATTTTGAAGGATTTGGGACTGACCCTAATGAGCCTATGTCTGTTGTAAAATCAATTGTGGTACTGGGGAGTTCCATGGGGTTGGATGTGAGTTTGGAGCATGTGGAAGAATTGGTGGAAGACCACAATGAAGAGCTCACCACTGAGGAGCTGCAAGAGCTTCAGCAGGAAGAGCAACACATCGCAGCTCAGAATCTTGCTGCAGAGGAGGAGGAAGAGAGATGGAAGAAGGTGCCTTCTTCAGAAATTAAAGAGATTTTTACTATGTGGGGTAAGATGGAAAGCTTTATGGAGAAACATCACCCTAACAAGGTTGTTGCAAGCCAGGTTGGCAACATGTACAGTGACAAAGTCTTGGGCCATTTTAGGGAAGTGTTAAAGAGATGCCAGAAACAGAGTTCTCTCCACAGTTATTTTGTGAGACAGGACTCCAGTGACTCTCAAGGTGGTTCTAGTGGCATTAAGAAACAGAGAAGAGAAGCAACCCCAGAAAAGCAAATGGTACCTGAGGTGTTGATGGAAGGGGATTCCCCTTCCAAACTATAAACAATCCGCTCTCTCTCCTCCTCCAGTCTCCAATACACTAAGAAGAATCTCCAATAAAGGTAAAAGTTATGCTGTTAATGTTTCATTCATCATTTCCCATTATATTGTTTATGTACTACATGTATATTTCATGTTAAAAATTTTTTTGTTTTAATACTTTTGGGTGTCAGGAATGGATTAATTGTATTTACATTATTTCTTATGGGGAAAATTGATTCGTAAATCGTAAATTTCGTTTATAGTAACGGCTCCAGGAACGGATTAATTACGAACAACGAGGGACCACTGTACCTCCCTGGGTGGTTGCTGTCTACCAACCTACTACCTACAAAATTACTAAATGTAAAAAGAAAAACTTTTGTGTCTTCTTTTTTGGGTCACCCTGCCTTGGTGGGAGACAGCCAGTGCCTCAAAAAAAGAAAACTATAAAGTTTTTCTTCTTTTTACATTTAGTAATTTATACAGGAGAAAGGGTTACTAACCAAACCATACCACAGGTGGGGTTAGAACCTGCGATCTGAGAGTCTCAAAACTCCAGACCTTTGCGTTAGCCACTGGGCCAGCTAGCCAAAATAAGATTCGTCCAACTAGGTATATTTCTACACCATAGGAAGGTTAGCATAGGCACCGCTGTGACCACAAATGCAAGTTTTTACAGACGAATCTCCAGCTAGCATGGCCGTGACGAACTCTAGCTCAAGTCCCCTCAAAGCCATCAACATGACTCACGAAATTGCAATGACACGATTGCAAACAAACCATACCACAAGCAGAGTTAGAACCCGCGATCAGAGAGTCTCAAAACTCCAGATCATCGCGTTAGCCACTGAGCCAGCTAGCGTGTTCTAACCCCGCCCGTGGTAGGGTTTGTTTGCAGTCATGTCATTACGATTTCATGAGTCATGTTGATGGTTTTGAGGGGACTTGAGCTAGAGTTCATCACGGCCATGCTAGCTGGAGATTCGTCTGTAAAAATTTGCATTTGTGTTCACAGTGGCCTGGTCACAGACCGGGCCGCGGGGGCATTGACCCCCGGAACTCTCTCCAGGTAAACTCCAGGTAAACAGTGGTGCCTATGCTAACCTTCTTATGGTGTAGAAATATATCTAGTTGGATGAATCTTATTGTGGCTAGCTGGCCCAGTGGCTAACGCGACGGTCTGGAGTTTTGAGACTCTCTGATCGGGGGTTCTAACCCTGCCCGTGGTATGGTTTGTTTGCAATCGTGTCATTACGATTTTGTGAGTCCTGGCATATTAGTTGCCTCTTACAACACACATGGCTTATGGAGGAAGGATTCTCTTTCTTTTTCCCTTGGAGTAAAAGAAAACTTCAATATTTATATATATTACACTGTAGATCATAGTTTACTTTAGAACACTATATAAATGTATTTTAAAAATATGTATATTAATAAACACACATTGAATTTGAATAAAAATGTCAATCTTTGTTGACAGGCCACTGCTCCAGTCCGTGTTCTTATGGTGGAAGAAATATGTGAGGTATTGTCTACCAACTTTCCAGACATGTGGAAGCTTAGTCAGGCATACTTTGGTGGGGAGCTGCTGCCTCCCACAGCTCAAGTGGACCACTTTAAACATCCCAGGTGCAAGGTTTGTATACAGTGGTTCTTGGAGTTATGATGGGCTGGGGTTATGATAATTTGGAGTTAGGATTTGCCCTCATAGAGGAACTTTGGAATAGGGATTAAAAAATGAGAGATATATTACGAGTGTAATTGTACGACTGTTCTGGGTTGCATTATGGGGAAATCAACCAATCAGCAACTGCGTTGAATGTCTGTGGTAGTATCTCGGCCAGTAGCAGAGTTTGTACTATAGTTTCTTTACTTTTTGGTTTGTAGCTATTATGGGTGTTTTTGCACAAATTCTGGATTATTTAACTGCATTTATTACATGTACACCATCTTTTGCATTAGTAAGTCACCATGGCCCCTAAAGTGTACAGTAAACAGGCCATTACTCTGAAGATTAAGCAAGAAATTAGTGCATTGGTACCTGAGTAGGGCTTTCCACAAACAACTGTCTCTACTGTTATCTAGCAAAAAGGAATATTAAAGAATATTAGTGTGGAATATAGGTAGTAGGTTGGTAGACAGCAACCGCCCAGGGAGGTACTACCGTCCTGCCAAGTGAGTGTAAAACGAAAGCCTGTAATTGTTTTACATGATGGTAGAATTGCTGGTGTCCTTTTTTCTGTCTCATAAACATGCAAGATTTCAGGTATGTCTTGCTACTTCTACTTACACTTAGGTCACACTACACATACATGTACAAGTATATATATACACACCCCTCTGGGTTTTCTGCTATTTTCTTTCTAGTTCTTGTTCTTGTTTATTTCCTCTTATTTCCATGGGGAAGTGGAACAGAATTCTTCCTCCGTAAGCCATGCATGTTGTAAGAGGTGACTAAAATGCCGGGAGCAAGGGGCTAGTAACCCCTTCTTCTGTATAAATTACTAAATTTGAAAAGAGAAACTTTTGTTTTTCTTTTTGGGCCTTGGTGGGATACGGCCGGTTTGTTGAAAAAAATAAATTGGAAAGATGGAAAGACTAACTGTTGTAATTGTGAATAAGAGACAAGTAAATAAATGTTTTAGAAAACTAAGAAGTTGATAAATGAGATACTTGTGCAGGATTTGGTTATCTCTGTTCTGGAAACATTTTTGCCAGCCAGTGGCTTCTTCAGTTCATTAATCTTGATGGACTGAACACATTGACTTCAAGCTGAGGGAGTGATTACCTCAAATTCCTCCTCGTCTTCCATCTTTGCATTGGACTGAAGAAGCCACCAGTCTGTGAAACATTTCCAGAATGAAGATACTCAAATGTTGCACATGTCTCATTTATCAAGAGAAAAATAGATGAAGGGAGACAGTACCTGCAAATTGTATCTGACAATATAAGATACAGTACATAGTTTTACAGTTATTGTGTCCCTTCAAGGGGTCTTGGAATGAATTACCATAAACTATGTATTTTGGGGTTGGTGTTACAATGGTTTGGAGGTACAATGCGTTTTCTGGAACGGATTAATATCGTAACTCAAGGAACCACTGTACATATTTTTATTTTGAACGCTTAAGTTTTAGTGGCTTGAGCATCCAACAGACTTGTGTGAATGTGCAAGTGAATGGACACAAGTTTTTAGTGGGTGTGCTGTTGGAGTCTTACCAGTGTTGAAATTGTTGGCGAAAATGTTACATATCACTGTACTCGGTTTTCATTCACTTTCTTAAAAAGTGATGTAATGTAAGTTTTCTGGGTAACAGTCATTTCATAACTATGGGACAAACCACATAAATTTTTCATTCTATTCTGCCTTTCCTGTGGATGCAATAAAATATGTATATAAATTTTTCTAAGAAGGAGAACAACAGTGTTAGTATGGTAAAATAACTTTTGCAATGAACTGTATAAATTTCTTAAATGCATGATTGGTCACTAGCTGATATTTATTGAGAAGATTTCCAAACATCCACACAAGGACCAACAGTTATTGTGGTCATATTTTACTCTGGCTAATGAAGAGCAACTGGGCATTGAATGATAGTAGAGTGCCTGAACTCTGAAGGAGGGGTGGGGATATTTGCCGTTTGGTGGGGCATCTGAACTAGTATCTGCATGTCTCTGGCAAGACAGTGAGAGTGAATGATGGTGAAAGTGTTTCTCCTTTTCAGGTCACCCTACCTTGGTGGGAGATAGCCAGTGTACCAGAAAATACTAATAATAATGTGATTATAGAATTTATACCTTTTCAGGATATGATTCTTGAGCTGCTGGACGTATTTAGTGGTGTGATGAGAGGAGCAATTATGCCACTTTCTCTACACCCAGATGGACAGAACTTTAGAAAGTATCATGTTTGGCCAGAAGTTTCCTTGGATCAAATTACTTCATGGCTACCTCAGGTGTGTATGAAATAGTAAATTTAAAATTGGATAAGAATAGAGCAAGATTAGTCTCGGAAGGGATTTAATGTGTATGTAACTGGAAGAGCGAGAGAGGGAAACGAGAGGGCTTGGTAGAGAGCCAAGCTGGAATTGAATAGAAAGACATGGTTGCACTTGACCAGTCTTTTTTATTTTCTCTCTTGATAAAAATGTGATGAACTCCAAGAGGAAATGGAATAAGAATTCTGCCTCTATTAGTCATGCATGTAGTAAGAGGTGACTAAAATACCTGGAGCAAGGGGCAAGTAACCCACTTCTCCTATATATATTACTAAATTTAAAAAGAAAAACTTTCATTTTTCTCCTAGGTCACCCTGCCTCAGTGGGATATGGCCAGTTCATTGAAAAAAATGTGGTGAATGACACTCATATTTAATATGCAGTATAAAAAAAAGATCAAATTAAACGTAAAGTACAGTGATGATTTTGTGAAGTTAAATGGTACAATTTTAAATTTTGCTTGTCTTATGAGAACAAACACAGTACATGTAGGAATATAAAATCATCTTCTTTCAACAAACCGGCCGTATCCCACCAAGGCGGGGTGGCCCAAAAAGACAAACAAAAGCTTCTCTTTTCAATTTTAGTAATTTATACAGGAGAAGGGGTTACTAGCCCCTTGCTCCTGGCATTTTAGTCGCCTCTTACAACACGCATGGCTTATGGAGGAAGAATTCTGTTCCACTTCCCCATGGAGATAAGAGGAAATAAAGAAGAACAAGAACTAGAAAGAAAATAGCAGAAAACCCAGAGGGGTGTGTATATATATGCTTGTACATGTATGTGTAGTGTGACCTAAGTGTAAGTAGAAGTGGCAAAACGTACCTGAAATCTTGCATGTTTATGAGACAGACAAAAGACACCAGCAGTCCTACCATCATGTAAAACAATTACAGGCTTTCGTTTTACACTCACTTGGCAGGACGGTAGTACCTCCCTGGGCGGTTGCTGTCTACCAACCTACTACCTAAAGGAATATAAAATATTGGCAGTATTTGTGAAGGGATGAACTATGGGTAAGTGTTTAGATGCAATATAACTTGAGTAAACAGAATAGAAAGCTCAATGCAAGGCAGTTTTACAGAAGAAAATTACATGAGATTAGTGATGTGGGAAGGCATGGAAGAGTAATGTATAATTATTCAGGAGGTTCCCAACTGACAAATGCTTCAAGTTACAAACTTCTGCACTTACAAACAGGCCAATTAGGATCCAATTGATGTTTTGCAACCACCATATTGCAGTACACTGTGTTTCACACAGTGTACTGCAAGGCTTCCTTGTGTACACCCCACCTAATGAGGAGCTGCCAGGGTTAATAAAACATTAAGGACATATTCAAAAAGGAGTTATTTCAGCTGAAGTACAAAAACTAATAGTTAAAAGTTCTTTGTTACACTGTGGGATGGTTTTGTTAAATTGCTTATCCTTAAATAGAAGTGATGTATCATAAATGAGAAGTAAAAGCCACACTTCACATGCTGAGTGTCCGTGGTTTGATCCTCGGCAAGGGTGGAAACATTGGGTGTGTTTCCTTACACCTGTTGTCCATGTTCACCTAGCAAGTAGGTACCTGAGTGCTAGTTGACTGGTGTGGGTGGCATCCTGGAGGACAAGATTGAAGACCCCCATGGAAATAAGACAGTCCCTCAATGATGCACTGCCTTTCCTGGGTTATCTTGGGTGGCTAACCGCCAGAGTTAAAAATCCCAACAAAATCTTGTCTTAATATTATTAGTGGAAGAATTCAGTTAATGTATTTTGGAGGAAATTTTTAGTTGATTTGTTCTCTCCTAAACCATTATCACTAGGCTTGATAATGGTCAAGGACTGATCAAAATATTGAAGTTTTCTCCTCAAATTAGCTGTAAAATGTGTCAATTATGGCTTGAAAAGTAGTAACCCATTATACATGTGAAATAATTTATATTTTTTATTTTGAAATTTATGCAAAATAACCACAGGGGGAGTTGAATGATAACTCTAGCCCCTTTTGTGTTGCAATCAACACATCAAAAGCTTGGATTGTTGCAGAAATGAGGAGGCCAGGTAGATTCATTCAGGGGAATGGTTATTTTTCATATTGTATTTCTCGTTTGCCATTATTGCATATTTGAAATTTGTTGAGTTTTCAAAGTTGTCAGTTTGAAATGTGTTCTTATTTTTTAAACGCAGGTTCTACGCCATGTTAGGGGATGTTACAATACTTTACTAACGCTAGATCTTCCCAATGATGCTCTTGATGTTGTCAAGGAGCTAATCTTTGATTTAAGGTATGTTCAGCCATAACTCGCAAGATCATAATAACACAGTTGCAAACAAACCAAGGAACAGGTAGGATTTGAAACCATGGCCTGAAGGGTTAGGACTCAGTTGCCATAGGTTCAAACCCCATACGTTCTGTGGTTTATGTTCAATCGTAGTCTTAATTACGGTACTTTTGCTTTGCCCTTTTGCTTTTATTATTTTGCAGAATGAAGGCCTCCTATAATTGTCTATTTAATAATTACTTATTTGTGGATGCAGTAGAGCAGGTAACAGTAATATTACATATAATAAAATACTGTAATTACATTATAAAACAATTTAACCCTTTCTCCTGTATACATTACTAAATTTAAAGAGAAAAACTTTTGCTTTTCTTTTTAGGACACCCTGCCTTGGTAGGATATGGCTGGTTTGTTAAAAAAAAAAAATACAGGTAACACTAACATTAATACATTATAAAATAATTACAGGTAACAGTATCATTACAGCATATAAGTCTTTGAAAGAGTGGTAAAATGGCATACTGTACTTCTAATTTTTCTGTCAACGTGGATTTAAAGCAGGAAGATCCAGTGAAGTAGTTAAAGTAAAATCTAGCCTTAGCAAAGTACCTCAAGTACCCCAAGGCACAGTCCTGTTTTGCATCATCATAACAAATTTCTTTATTTTTGTCTTGTTTTTACACTGTTTCCCACTGAGATAAGGTGACCCAAAAAAGAAGAAACACTTTCCACCATCACTCACTCCATGACTGTCTTGTCAGAGGCATGCTGATACTACAGTTTATAACTGTAGATATCCTCACCCCTCCATATCCTCATGTATGTCCATGGAAAGTAGCAGACTTGGTGGGTCCTGCAAAGTGAGAGCAGGTTATTAGGGGTTCAGTAAGACATGGATGTTTGGCCCTCGTCCTTCAACACGAATAATCACTTTCATTATGTACCTATTAAATATTACATTGTTCAAGAGTTTTACTATTTTGAAGCTATTGGGAGGTTACAAATTTTTGGGTTCTTTGAATTTCATGGGATGTTTACTGTAGTTGAGTAGTACACACAGAATATAAAAGAAAGCTTTATTTCTAGTGTTATGCATATGTTATTTCTTGTAGCTCTGCTGGAATTGCTAAATAATACCAATGGTTACACTTCTTAAATAACTTGTGAATTCTTGTTTAGAATGTTTTGTTGTCAATGGATCCGTTCAAGGTAGGAGAGGTATCACAGCTGGAAAAGATACAGAGATTGTTTACTCTCTGAACTGAGCCAGTAAAGCACTGACAGTGGACTGTGATAAATATATCAAAGATACTTGGGGGCCTTGTTCCTAATGTATTCACTTACATAATAATGTATGTGTATTGGAATAACAAAGATAGGGAGAAGTGTGAAACTAACCCAGTGAAGTGCAAGGATGCCATTGGCACAATAAGAGAACACTGTATCAACAATAAGGGAATAATGTGTCAAAGCTATTCAACTTGCTACCAGTATATATCAAAACTATTACTGGAACATATATTGAAGTCTTCAAAAGGTAACTGGTCCACTATATGTGTGAAGTGCAACATCAACCAGACTATGATTGCTATGTGGTTCAGCAGACTGCCAACAGCAAAAGTTTGGTTGAACAGGCAATTAACAGAAAATCCTGGTCCTAGGCTTGGTTACAAGGGTAATAAGAGCTCTTGAAATCAGTCACAGGTTTATACCCTTGATGTGTTTCAAGAGTTTTCCTTCTTGTGCGGCTCAGCTCTGGGCCGCATTTACATACACATGCATTTACATACACAAAAGCACTCAGAAGATTTTCTTTTCTTGCTGGTATAGTTTAGATATTTTCCAACCTCTTATGTTAATTGTTTTTTAACCCTTTGACTGTTTCAGGCCCCTTTCTGAAACTGTCATTCTATGTCGCTAAATTTTTGAAAAAAAAAAAAAATTATTTTTTCTTATGAAATGATAGAGAATCTTTTCCCGATGGTAATGACACCAAAAGTTCGAAATTTGGTCGACAACTCATGGAATTATGCTCCCGCGAAGTTAGCGGTCTCAGCGACATATGCGTATCGGCAATTTTGCCGAATTTGAGCCCTATTTTTAGCCAATTCCATTGTTCCAGTTGACCAAACTCATAGCTATTTCTTTAGAACTCCATTTTATCTATCAGCTGAGTACAAGAAACCTCCCATTTACCAATTTGGACTACCTAATATTGTGGTCAGAAATTGGCAATTTGGCCAATTTCATGCAAACTAAAAAAGATGCCAATTTCAAAATAAGGTCCAGAATAAACAAGGTAGACATTCTTGGCACTAAAATAACATATCCTCTGTTCATTAGTCACATCTCTATGTCCCTCTTTTATTATTATTGCTTTCTATTTTGATTTTTTATTCATACAAAAAAATACAAAATTTACTGTTATGCAGACTACTGCATTATTGTAAAAATGGTATAAATAATATCAGTGCACTAGTGAAAGAATATTAGACTCCCCAGTTGACGTGTATTGGACGTGTGGTGTGATTTGTTTACTCCTGAACATTGGTAAAAATCGAACATTTCCGCTACTTTGAGCTCAGTTTCAAGGTCGTTTTCATCGTCAAAGTAATAAAAATCATCTCTATTTCTGTAATATGTTTTCCATTTTATCACCTAAGACCATGAAAACGCAAATACATCGATAAATGCTATACGAAAATACACCTCAAAGTCGGCGTTTTAATCCAAAAAAAACGATCAGTTTTTTTTTCTCATTACGCACTGTGTGCTGCAGGATTTTTTTTATGTGGTGCACACTGACCACACAGAGCCATTCTCTCACATGTGGGCCTACCAGCTTTCTTCCGCTTGATTTGAAGCCGCTAGAATTATTGAGTATACATGTATATACATCTGAAACACTGGCTCGTAAGACGTATATATACGACCAAAACAGTCAAAGGGTTAAAGTTTAAGCACAAAGCCTTTACAGAACTTATTGAACAAATATTAATGTGGGGTGGAGATATGTTACAGTTTTTTGAGCTGTAGTGTTGGCATGCCTCTGGCAAGACAGTGATGGAGTGAATGATGATGAAAGTGTTTCTTCTTATTCAGGTCATCCTGCCTTGGTGGGAAATGGCTTATGTATTAATAAAAAAAATAATTAATGTACCTGTATAGATGCATTATGTATCAAAGACTCACTAGCAGTTTGGACACATTTAAATAGCACACAAACTGATTGTTATTTTTAAAACTTTTTATTTTATACCCCTTATGCCTATTCTTTATATAGATTAAATTGGTAATGTTTCAGAGTTCACTGCTTGACCTCATTGTTTCAACAAACAGTGGAACACCTGAGAAATCTACATACACGTGAAAAGTGGCAGCTGGAAGTAGATGATGAAAATGGTGGATGCACTCAGTTGGTGAGTTTGTTCTCCTTACCCAGTGATTGTTGATAACAATTCTCTCTTAAAATTGACATTTGTCAGCAGGTAAAATATTTCAGCTCCACAATGACAATTGTGATGATATACAGGCATACCTCATTAATACAGTGCTTGCATTAGAGCACTCTGCTAATGTGGCACTTTTCAATTACAGTGGGCCCCCGAATATTGTAATTAATCCGTTCCAGAGAGTGTGACTCAAGCCGAATTTGACAATTTCCGAATTCATTTTTCCCCCATGAGGAATAATGTAAATCCAAATAATCCATTCCAGACACACAAAAGTATTAAAAAAAATAATTTTTTACATGAAATATACATTTAACTACACAAAAAAAAATGAGACATGAAGAATAAAACAATAATAACATGACACTTACCTTTATTGAAGACTCTTCTTAGTGTGTTGAAGATGGGAGGAGGGGAGAGGATGGAGAAATTACTGTTTGGAAGGGGAACCCCCTTCCATAAAGACTTCAGGTACCAAGTCCTTTTCCGGGGTTACTTTCCTTCTTTGTTTTTTAATGCCACTAGGACAAGCTTGAGAGTCACTGGACCCCTTGTCAATTAAAAAAGTGTTCCAGAGAGGTCTGTTTCTGGCATATGTTAGGAATTGTGGTGGCTGCAGGGAAGTGTGCTTGGAGTCAGGACAAGATAGTCCTGACTCTAATATCCATGACACTAATATCAACTCTCTGGCTTATTTATTTAGCACAATTCATCTAATATGACATAAACATTATTAATAAAATAGAAACATGATATATACTCTAGAATGAATAAAATATCTCGTTACGTATGTGATGAGTGGTGTTGTGTTTGTTGGGTGTATTAGAGCCACTAAGATAAGCCGTACATAGTGGTGGTGATGGCGGCAGCAGAGACGGCAGTGTTGTCAGTCGCCCTATATAACTCCAACAACATTGGAGGAGTCAGTTTCGTGCTGTCCTTTTTCTGTTGATTAATCGCTTAACTTACTTGCTACACTGTTAATGCTACACTTTATCTCTGGCTGGCGCTATAGCCTTTATCGACTCCTGCTGCTTTAGTTTCGTACATATCGCAGAATCACTGAAGAAGACACATTCTCCCCTCTCTCTCAGCCCTTTACCAAAGGGCTGGCTGGCACTAGGAACTTCTTTGAGCCCATGGTGGCTTATTTAGCAGTTGCAAGCACTAAAAAGAATGGAATATTATGAAATGTATCATATGTATGCATGGGGTGACGGTCATTCACTGATAAACCATGGCAGACTGACTGTGAATGGAGTGTGGGGCTGCTCGTATGCATTTGAGACATATGACTATTACCGAGCTAAATGACAATCACCGAGCCAATATTTTGACGAAAAAACATTAGGATTTCTGAATATTACGAAATCCGACGACTACGATATCCAGGGGTCCACTGTATAGAGCAACTTTTTCACAAGGCCACTTCTTCAAGGATATGGGCATTCTCAGAGAGATAAGACATTAGGGATATTCTGTACCTTCCTTTTTAAAGGTAAATTAAATTTTGTAGGTATCTACCTTTTAATCTTCTTTCACCCTCAGCCGCACATATGTGAAAATGTAATTGTGGAGTGTGCACAGTTGGTCCGAGAAACTGTGCTAGACACTAGTCACCGTGAGACATCTCTTGTTGATCACCCAACGGTGCGAAGAGATATTTTGACACTTATTCACAATGTTATTGTTGCCTTTGCTCAGGTAAGTCATTGAGAAACAATTTCACCATGTTACTCCTTTTTTCCTTGTAAAATTTAATACATTAAACTACTTTTAATACTACTACTAATAAGCTTACTTACAGAAAACACAGCACAAATTGTGTGTGTATTTTAGGCAAAATTGTAATTGAATGAAATTTCTTCTGGAAAGCTATAATTTACACAATTACAAAAAATAACAATGAGTATGATCAAAACATACAAAAATACTGTAGTTGGAGACACAGGAATATACTATATGCCAGAGCTGTAACAAATATGAGGATATTTTCAATACAGTAATAACCAAAAAATGAGGATAACAAAAAGATTAGGTGATGAAAGATTGGATATCAGATTGGAGGGAGAGAGTATGGAGGAGGTGAATGTATTCAGATATTTGGGAGTGGACGTGTCAGCGGATGGGTCTATGAAAGATGAGGTGAATCATAGAATTGATGAGGGGAAAAGGGTGAGTGGTGCACTTAGGAGTCTGTGGAGACAAAGAACTTTGTCCTTGGAGGCAAAGAGGGGAATGTATGAGAGTATAGTTTTACCAACGCTCTTATATGGGTGTGAAGCATGGGTGATGAATGTTGCAGCGAGGAGAAGGCTGGAGGCAGTGGAGATGTCATGTCTGAGAGCAATGTGTGGTGTGAATATAATGCAGAGAATTCATAGTTTGGAAGTTAGGAGGAGGTGCGGGATTACCAAAACTGTTGTCCAGAGGGCTGAGGAAGGGTTGTTGAGGTGGTTCAGACATGTGGAGAGAATGGAGCGAAACAGAATAACTTCAAGAGTGTATCAGTCTGTAGTGGAAGGAAGGCGGGGTAGGGGTCGGCCTAGGAAAGGTTGGAGGGAGGGGGTAAAGGAGGTTTTGTGTGCGAGGGGCTTGGACTTCCAGCAGGCATGCATGAGCGTGTTTGATAGGAGTGAATGGAGACAAATGGTTTTTAATACTTGACGTGCTGTTGGAGTGTGAGCAAAGTAACATTTATGAAGGGGTTCAGGGAAAGCGGCAGGCCGGACTTGAGTCCTGGAGATGGGAAGTACAGTGCCTGCACTCTGAAGGAGGGGTGTTAATGTTGCAGTTTAAAAACTGTAGTGTAAAGCACCCTTCTGGCAAGACAGTGATGGAGTGAATGATGGTGAAAGTTTTTCTTTTTCGGGCCACCCTGCCTTGGTGGGAATCGGCCAGTGTGATAATAAAATAAAATAATAATAACCAAAACATAAAGGCATGTGTGGAAATTACATGCCCAAATGAGCCATAGGAAGATCAGAATGTTTCTTAAGCATATGAGTGATAAAGAAGCAGAATAAGGTGAACAGTGACACAGAGAAAAGTGACTCCACATGAAAGCTCAAAAAATTGAACACAAGCTTATTTCAATCAGTCAATCAATCAAGTTTATTCTCTATAAGGATTACAATGCAGGGTTTACAGATTTTGGATATTGTGTGGTTTACATGTTTTAAAATACTAATTACAGAGGGGGCCACTAGGACACCTAGCATGGCTAGGCATTTCGGGCAGACTTAGATTAATTCTTAACTTTAAATTATTACAGATTATGGTATTAAGGGTAAGTGACTACATTATAGTTTGTGAGTTTATTCACTTCAGGTGGCTGAAAAATAAGTGGCTTGACCAAGAACTAGAGCTCATTCCCTGCGAACCTAAGTAATTTCAAAAGAATATACGCTAGATGAAGTTAATTTTAACCCCCAACATTTAAGTGATATACTGAAATGCCTAATAAAATGTAAGCTAGTACTAGCTCTTTGTCAAGAAAAAAACAATAAGATTAGACAAAAAAGACTACTGCTATGGATATTTAGAAGGCCATGCAGTAGAACTAAAACATCTAGTTTATAATGTGTTTGTAATTTTATTACAAAAAAATTAATTTGGTGGACAAATAGAAAATGGTACCCAATGACAATATTTACTAACAATGATGACAGAAGATCTAAACTGTTGTAATGGGTGTTAGTGGATGGTTGTGGGGTGGCATCCTGGGGGACAAGATTGAAGGATGCACTTACTTTACTGGGTTATCCTGGGTGACTAACCCTCCCTACTCTGGATTAAAAATCCCAGCAAATATTATTTTACCACGTGGTACTACTACTATAAAAATTTATATGAAAAAAACGATTAAAGACGGGATACCATGATTACTGCATAAATTTACTCCAAGTTAGGTACAGGAAATCATGTACATTCATTGGTTTTGGTTATTAATTTCTTAATTTTTTAATTTTTATTAAAATTCATTGCATTAACATATTTATTTATTTTGGTTCTTAATTTGTTAGTTGTTCATAAAATTAAAATAACATTGTTTGTTCTAATAAAGGGATTGTTCATAAAATAATAGTATTCTTTCTTAACAAAAAAAGGCACAATACCGTGACTGGAACGATACACAAATAACCCGCACATAAAAGAGAGAAGCTTATGACGACGTTTCGGTCCGACTTGGACCATTTACAAAGTCACACTGTGTGACTTTGTAAATGGTCCAAGTCAGACCGAAACGTCGTCGTAAGCTTCTCTCTTTTATGTGCGGGTTATTTGTGTAGTATTCTTTCTTTCAACACACTGGCCGTATCCCACCGAGGCGGGGTGGCCCAAAAGGAAAAACGAAAGTTTCTCCTTTTACATTCAGTAATATATACAGGAGAAGGGGTTAATAATAGTATTATTTGTCTTAATAAAGACAAAAAAAAAATTTTGTTTGTCTTAATAAAGGAGATTGTTTAAATGTTTCTTATCTAAACAGTCACTTGAGAAACTAAGCCTTCGTGACCCAGATGAAGATTTTGGAGACTGCCATGTGAGTGAAAATGCTCCAGGGATTGAAGCTCAGTTGCTCATTACACTCAGTAACTGTGCTTTCATGCGCCGCAGCATCCTTCCCAGACTGTCAGATTCCTTGGTGAGAGCTTCATACCCACAGGATGAGGTGAGTACATAAAGATAATTCACCAAAAATTTTCACTTAGGAGAGGAATCTTACGAAGTTTCAGTCTGTCCAGGATCATTGTTATGTTCTCTCTTAAGTGCAAATTTCTGTTGAATTGTTCCAACCATAGTATTTTGACTTTTTATTCCCTACATAAAGATAATTCACACAGGATAACAGGTATATCTTGCTACTTCTGCTTATACTTTGGTCACACTACACATGTATGAATGTACACATACATGTATACACACTTGTCTGAGTTTTCTTCAATTTTCTTAATAGTTCTTGTTCTTCATTTCCTTTCATCTCCATGGGGAAGTGGAAAAGAATCCTTCGTCTGTAAGTCATGCGTGTTGTAAGAGACTAAAATGCTGGTAACAAGGGGCTAGTAACCTCCTCTTCTGTATATATTGCTACATCTTTAAGTCACTGTGCCTTAGTGGGAGATAGCTGGTGCATTTAAAAAATGTAAAGATAATTTTAAATTCATGCACTGCCTGCAGTCTGAAGGGAAGGTGAGGATGTTGCAATTATAGGGGAATCTAAATTGTGATATCAGCACACTTCTGTTAAGACAACATTTGAATGAATAATGGTGAATGTTTTTCCTACTTTGGGACACCCCTACCTTGGCAGGAGACACCTGTTCAGGCAAAAACAAGAAATTTGTTTTACATACTACCCATGACTTTACAATGAATATAACGGTTCAGTGAATATAATGTTCGAGTACATACAGGCATTAACACAGCTGCTGGGTGAACTTCTTTAAAACACTGACTATTTAGGAGAGGTTTATAGATATAATCTTTGACTCCCTTCAAGGGGAAAAAGGGATACATTGGTGTTGGTAGGCTCTTGATCCATCGAGTTTGATCTACCTTTTCCTACTTTAGATCAAACCTACTGATCACCTCTCATTCCTCAGATTCTGTATGACCCCTTACAGTTTTAGTGCTTCTCTGTGAATAAAACAAAAATAATGGTCTTTTGATTATATACATCCTTTATCCCATGTGAGTTAGTTTGCAGTGCAGAACATTTCACAGAGTGCAGTGTAATCCTATTATTAAGTCTATTTGACAGTGTGTGCATTTTCTCTAATGCTGAAGATAGTCTTGATGTGTTTGATTATAAAATAGTCTGCTAAATGTAATAATATTAATTTCATCAGGTCAAGGAAGCTGTTAAACAAGCAAGCCGCACCTACAGAGAGCTGCAGGACAGACTTTTTGAAGCTTACCTAGAGGAGAGAGTTGACCCCATCATTGGTAAGAAGTGTCACTTGACATTATGTTAAGATCATATTTTGTTTGGTAGCATAATATGGGTGTCCCATGCCTTGGTTAGTAGTGCACTCAGCTCACACACTGAGTGTCCAGGGTTCAATCCCTGGTATGGGGGAAAACATTGGGCATGTTTCTTGACACCTGTTGCACCTGTTCACCTTGCAGTAAGTAGGTACCTGGGTGTTAGGCAGCTGGTATGGGTCACATCCTAGGGGTAGTATACCTTAGATAGTGCTGGGACTTTGAAATAAGCTGAGGTAGGATAACAGCTTTTAGCCTGTAAAATTGATTAGTGTAAAAAAAAAAAAATAGCTTGTTCAGATTGAAAACCACCATTCCTCCAGTCATCAAACAAATAAACATTATTTCTATAAAGAGGAATACAGTATACATGTGTGTGTGTGTGTATATATTATATATATACATGAACAGGAAAACTTCGTTTTTTTTTAGCACATCAGCCATCTACCAGTGAAGTAGGGTGAAGATAAATAATATTTATGTATATTTGGGAGTTGACGTGTCAGTGGATGGATTTATGAAAGATGAGGTTAATCATAGAATTGATGAAGGAAAAAAGGTGAGTGGTGCGTTGAGGTATATATTTTTTTTTTCAACAAACCGGCCGTATCCCACCAAGGAAGGGTGGCCCAAAAAGAGAAACAAAAGTTTCTCTTTTTAAATTTAGTAATTTATACAAGAGAAGGGGTTACTAGCCTCTTGTCCCAGCATTTTAATTGCCTCTTACAACACGCATGGCTTACGGAGGAAGAATTCTGTTCCACTTCCCCATGGAGATAAGAGGAAATAAACAAGAACAAGAACTAGAAAGAAAATAGCAGAAAACCGAAAGGGGTGTGTATATATATGCTTGTATATGTATGTGTAGTGTGACCTAAGTTTAAGTAGAAGAAGCAAGACGTACCTGAAATCTTACATGTTTATGAGACAGAAAAAACGACACCAGCAATCCTACCATCATGTAAAACAACTACAGGCTTTCGTTTTACACTCACTTGGCAGGATGGTAGTACCTCCCTGGGCAGTTGCTGTTTACCAACCTATTACCTAAAGTTGCAGTATATGCGGAGAAAAAAAAACATTATCTATGGGGGCAAGGAAGGGAATGTATGAAAGTATAGTGGTACCAACATGGGTGTGAAGCTTGGGTTGTAAATGCTACAGAGAGGAGACGGTTGGAGGCAGTGGAGATGTTCTGTTTAAGGGCAATGTGTGGTGTAAATTTTATGCAGAAAATTCGGAGTGTGGAAATTAGGAGAAGGTTTGGAGTTAAAAAAAATATTAGTCAGAGGACTGAAGAGGGATTGTTGAGGTGGTTTGGTCATTTAGAGAGAATGGGTGAAAGTAGAATGACATGGAGAGCGTATAAATCTGTAGAGGAAGGAAGGCGGGGTAGGGGTCGTCCTTGAAAAGGTTGGAGGGAGGGGGTAAAGGAGTTGTGGGCAAGGGGTTTGGACTTCCAGCAAGCGTGCGTGAGTGTGTTAGTTAGGAGTGATTGGAGATGAATGGTATTTGGGACCTGACGAGCTGTTGGAGTGTGAGAAGGGTAATATTAAGTGAAGGGATTCAGGAAACCGGTTATTTTATTAACCGGACTTGAGTCCTGGAAATGGGAAGTACAGTGCCTGCACTCTAAAGGAGGGGTTTGGGATATTGGCAGTTTGGAGGGATATATTGTGTATTTTTATTACTTATATACTTCTAAACTGTTGTATTCTGGGCACCTCTGCAAAAACAGTGATTATGCGTGAGTGAGGTGAAAGTGTTGAATGATGATGAAAGTGTTTTCTTTTTGGGGTTTTTCTTTCTTTTTGGGTCACCCTGCCTCAATGGGAGATGGCCGACTTGTTGAAAAAAAATATATATATATATTATATATATTTTTTTTTTTTTTCAACAAGTCGGTCGTCTCCCACCGAGGCAGGGTGACTCAAAAAAAAAAAAAGAAAGAAAATCCCCAAAAAGAAAATCTTTCATTCATCATTCAACACTTTCACCACACCACACATTATCACTGCTTTTGCAGAGGTGCTCAGAATACAACAGTTTAGAAGCATACACAACATATCCTCCAAACTGCCAATATCCCAAACCCCTCCTTTAAAGTGCAGGCATTGTACTTCCCATTTCCAGGACTCAAGTCGACTATATGAAAATAACCCGGGTTTCCCTGAATCCCTTCCTAAAATATTACCTGCTCACACTCCAACAAATCGTCAGGTCCCAAGTATCATTCGTCTCCATTCACTCCTATCTAACACGCTCATGCTCGCTTGCTGGAAGTCCAAGCCCCTCACCCACAAAACCACCTTTACCCCTCTTTCCAACCCTTTCGAGGACGACCCCTACCCCTCTTTCCTTCCCCTATAGATTTATATGCTTTCCATGTCATTCTACTTTGATCCATTCTCTCTAAATGACCAAACCACCTCAACAACCCCTCTTCTGCCCTCTGACTAATGCTTTTATTAACTCCACACCTTCTCCTAATTTCCACACTCCGAATTTTCTGCATAATATTTACACCACACATTGCCCTTAGACAGGACATCTCCACTGCCTCCAACCGTCTCCTCGCTGCTGCATTTACCACCCCAAACTTCACATCCATATAAGAGTGTTGGTACTACTATACTTTCATACATTCCCTTCTTTGCCTCCATAGATAAAGTTTTTTGATTCCACATATAAACCCCAACGCACCACTCACCTTTTTTCCTCATCATTCTATGATTAACCTCATCCTTCATAAATCCAATCCCCCGACACGTCAACTCCCAGTATCTGAAAACATTCACTTCTTCCATACTCCTCCTCCCAATTTGATATCCATTTTTCTTTATCTAAATCATTTGATACCCTCATCACCTTACTCTTTTCTATGTTCACTTTCAACTTTCTACCTTTACACACATTCTCAAACTCATCCACTAACCTTTGCAATTTTTCTTTAGAATCTCCCATAAGCACAGTATCATCAGCAAAAAAGTAACTGTGTCAATTCCCATTTTGAATTTGATTCCCCCTAATTTTAAACCACCCCTCTCCCGAACACCCTAGCATTTACTTCTTTTACAACCCCATCTATAAATATATTAAACAACCATGGTGACATTACACATCCCTGTCTAAGACCTACTTTTACGGGAAGTATTCTCCCTCTCTTCTACATACCCCATCCTGAGCCTCACTATCCTCATAAAAGCTTTTTACAGCTTTTAGAAACTTACCACCTATTCATAAACTTGAAATCTGCCACTTGTCCTTACCCTCTATCATATCCCTTTTTTAATCCTTTAAATGAATAAAAACTTCCCCACCCTTTTTTAAATAATGTCAATATATGCATAATGAAACATTTTTATCTCACATCCCCCACCCACTCTGAAACCCCCTTGCTCATCCCAATTCTAAAACTTCCCCTTACCCCTTTAATTTTTTCAAATTTAACCTACCGTATACTTTTCCCGGTATACTCAGTAAACTTTTTCCTCTAAATTTTTTAAACTCTTTTGTCCCCTTTTCCCTTTTTATAAAGGGGGCTATACATGCTCTCCGCCAATCCCAGGGACCCTTCCCCCCCTTTTTTACATTTATTAAACAAAAGTACCAACCACTCCCCACTTAAACCCCCCCCGCTTTTAAAACTTTTCTGTCTGTCCCATCAGTCCGTGCTTTAACCCCTTTCATTCTACGTAATGCCTCACGTCCCACCACACTTACATTTCTCTTTTTCACTCCTAAAAGTGGTTACCTCCTGGCCAGGGCATGAAATTACCGCCTCCCCTTTCTTTCCCCAACATTTAAAAGTTCCCCAAAATATTCTCCCAAACTACCCAATCCTCCCTCTCCCCCTTACTAACTCCCCTACTCTGTTTTTAAAAGGCAAAACCATACTTTCCCTAGGCTTTTTTAACTTGTTTAAAACCCCTCCCAAAATTTTTCTTATTTTCATTAAAATTTTTTGACGTGCCTCTCCCTCTTTCATCTGCTCCCCTTTTTGCATTTCCCCTCCCCTCTCTTCACCTTTCTTTTACTCTCCATATACTTGCTCTTCTTATAACACTTCTGTTTTGTAAAAACCTCTCGTAAGCTACCTTTTTTTTCTTTTATCACACCCTTTACTTCATCATTCCACCAATCACTCCTCTTTCCTCCTGCCCCCACCCCCCTATAACCCCAAACTTCTGCCCCACATTTTAATACTGCATTTTTAAAATATTCCAACCCTCTTCAACCCCCCCATACTCTTCTTTGCACTAGCCCACCTTTCTGCCAAAAGTTGCTTATATCTCGCCGAACTTCCTCTCCTTAGTTTATACACTTTCACCTCCCTCTTACTTGTTGTTGCCACCCCTTTCCCCTTTTCCATCTACTCTTACTCTAACTGTAGCTACACTAAATAATGATCTGATATATCAGTTGCCCCTCTATAAACATGGGACATCCTGGAGCCTACCCTTTAAACCCTTTTTTCCACCAATACATAAACTAACAAACTACTTTCATTAGTGCTACATCATACCTTGTATATTTATTTATCCTCTTTTCATAAAATATGTATTACTTATTACCAAATTTCTTTCTAAAACATAGCTCAATTAAAGGCCCCATTTACATTTAACCCTGGCACCCCAAATTTTCCTACTACTCCCCAAACATTTTACCCATTTAGCATTGAAATCCCCAACCACCATTACTCTCACACTTGATTCAAAACTCCCCCGCATTCACTCAACATTTCCCAGAATCTCTCTCTCTCCTCTACACTTCTCTCTTCTTCAGGTGCATACACGCTTACTATAACCCACTTTTCACATCCAATCTTTATTTTACTCCACATAATCTTGAATTTATGCATTTGTAGTCCCTCTTTTCCTGCCATAGCTTATCCTTCAACATTATTGCTACTCCTTCTTTAGCTCTAACTCTATTTGAAACCCTGACTAATCCCATTTATT